CACAAAAAGAACTGTACGACTCTTGCCTGTCGGACATGGTTGTTAACTTCTTTCAGGGTGAGTGTGCTGTGTATATTGGTAATAAGGCATCATGATATCGCCATAATCATTGTCAGAATTATCATCATATTCATCACCATGATTAAAATGATCGTCATTATAGTGGTTTTCAGTATCATCATCATAATTGTTGTTTTTGTCCTTCTCCCCATCTTCCTTCTCCTTTTCCTCCTCTATGTCATCGTTGTTGTCATCGTCATCGCCATTGCCATTGCCATCATCATCGCCATCGCCATCATCATCGTCATCGTCATCATCATCATCATCATCACTCTTCTTGTATTGTCATCATTACCATATTGTTATTGTCTTTGTGTCGTTGTAAATTATTAGCAGCCTGAGCAAAAGCATAAATAGATCATTTCTATTTATTATTACACTAACATGAAACTTTATCTTTTGCCCAGGATACAATGTGACAGTGATCGGGTATGGGCAGCGTGGTTCTGGCAAGACATACACCATGACAGGCCCAGACTTTCTTTGGGCTATGAACGAGGAGGAGTTTGGACTGTTGCCCCAGGCAGTGCGGCATGTTTTCAACCTCATGAGAGTGAGTGTGTCTGTGTATTTGCGCATGTGTGTGTCTGTGTATTTGCGCATGTGTGTGTCTGTGTATTTGCGCATGTGTGTGTCTGTGTATTTGCGCATGTGTGTGTCTGTGTTTATGCGCATGTGTGTGTCTGTGTATTTGCGAATGTGTGTGTCTGTGTATTTGCGCATGTGTGTGTCTGTGTATTTGCGCATGTGTGAGTACATGTGTGAGTACATGCGTGAGTGCGTGTGTGTGTATTTCTTTATGATTTTTAAGAAATAAAAAAAGATAGGTGCTACTATCACAGGATTGATTTTTTTCTAACAAAACTAACAGTCCTTTTATTAAAACTAAATGATATTGTCATTCATTTAGGAATATTTGATTGCAGGAATGCCCAGGGAGAGAATACCGTGTACATGTGAGCTACCTGGCTGTGCAAAGGGATGCTGTATATGATCTGCTCTCCACCTCCAACTCATACATGCAACTGAATGTGCTAGAAGACAATATGGTAAAATTCTTGATGGTATTTCATCTTTATATAGAGACCAGAAGACATATCTCAGCTTTAGAGGCAGAATTTTATATATATATATATACATATATGTATATTTATATGTATATATATATATTTATGTATATATATATATATATATATATATATATATATATATATATATATATATATATATATATATATATATATATATATATATATATATTTATGTATATATATGTATATATATGTATATTTATATGTATATTTATATATGTATATATGTATGTATATATGTATATATATATATGTATGTATTCATATATACATATATATACATATATACCTATATATTTGTACGTAATATTATATATATGTATATATACATAAGCATATATATATATATATATATATATATATATATATATATATATATATATATATATATATATATATATATATATATATATATATATATTATGATAATAATAATGATAACAATAATAATGATAATAATGGTGATAATAATAATAATAATAATAATGGTGATAATAATAATAATAATAATAATAATAATAATAATAATAATAATAATAATAATAATAATAATAATAATAATAATAATAATGATAATGATAATGATAATGATAATGGAAATTCTGTCTATTCAAGGGTAATGTCGTCATTCCTGGCCTGAATGTGATTGACTGCAGCAACATCACCGAGGTCATCAACTGCCTAGAGGCTGGCCTAGTCCACCGCCACACTGCAGCCATCCACAGCCACGATCCTTCCGCTTCACACGCCATCTTCTCCCTCATTCTGGAGCACCAGTGGACGGATCCGGGTTAGTCTTGCAGCTTGAGGTTAAGGTGTGACTGTCAGGGCTGATATCAGGATTGGTAATGTTTTAGAGGAGGTGAAAAGGAATCCTTCAGTGATGATGAATATGATGATGATTCTTTGATGTTTTTTTAACCCTTTCAGGCTCTGGTAAGGCCATCCAGTTCTCAAGTTTGATTCTAAATTACCGCATCCATATTTCATTTGAGAGAATTATTGTTTTTAAGCAGAATTAATATTGTACATTAATGTGATGTATTTGAGAAAGCTTAGTGCGAGTTATTGTTAAGTGAATACAACATAGCAAATGTGAGGTGCAGGTGGTAGAAACAGAAGTGACGAGTGCTCAAAACCTGAAAAAGATAACAAGAGCAGTTTGAATATGTTTTGGGTCTCTAAATTACAGTTTTCAAAATAGAAATAAATGAATATTAGAAAACGTATTCAGCCATGAATACATAATGTTTGAGAAAAAGAAACACCATGTATGGGGATACACATAGTTTCTGAGAGAAGGAAACATAAAGTATGAAGAAAGGAAACCCAGTGTTTATTGGGAAGGG